AATAAACACAAGAAGTTTGTGCTCTAGAGAAAGGATCAGCACTCAGTGAATAACCTCCTAAGCCCTATGATAAGCTAATATGGCAAGGCTTAACTATACAGACCAGTGAGCAGTGATAACTAACATGTCTTTGGGGTCATCAGGTGGGAACCTCCTTTCACCAGTGTTTCGTCTAGTTGGTCCCACGACACCTCCAGGAGGCTAGGCAGTGATCTCTGGCGTCCCAGAGACACTCCCCTAATGCCAGGTCTCACTGCTCCCCACACCAACCCAACAACCTCCTTTACCTTACTTACACATGGCTTTCTCAGCCCAAACAGCACTGCCACCTTCAACCAAACCCAGGCTCCTTATGCAAGCTCCAGGTAGAGACAGTGCTGATACTACCTTTCCTAGCACATTCACCATACTCTATTTCACACGCTACATATCATAACTCCAATATAAGCTAAAGTGGAATTAGTGGCATCTATTGGTAAGGACTGCAGACTGCAACCAGCTGAAACTTCTCCCAGTTAGAATTTCTTCAGTGTTCAGGAGGTTTTTACTGGGAGCCGAATTATCCACAAAGGTCTCTTCCCCTCCAGAACAAACAAATCTGGTGATTTAAGTTGGTAAAAACACTAAATAAAGCAACTTCATGTTAAAAATCAATGTTTCTTTAATGTTGTTCAGCACGGCAGGAACTCCAGCTGAGCTGCCGTTAACGTTTGCTCAGCTTGTTTCTCTATTAACGTAAGATCCAGACGTCCGATGACTAAATCCTTAGTGGCTTTAAATGGCCTTATGCAGAGCTAGTGTTTGGTTTGTTCGCTCTGGGCTACTGTAAAAACACAGTAATCTCCACAGACGAAGACTCGCTCCCTCTGTAGATATAAACGGCTTATTGTAAGGCAGGGGTCGGCAGCCTTCTCTATCAAAAGAGCCATTGTTGACCAAAATTTAAAAAACAGAGATGAGTCTGTTGGGAGCCTCAAAACTGATCTGAACCTTGTGATGAACATAACACATCCTATTATGTCTAAATCAGCCCATCAACATTACTAATAATTCTACACAAGCTGTCATTAATATGTTTTACCACAAGGTGGCGACTCTGCAGTGGGTTATTTATGATTATTTGGTTCTTTAACTTTGCAGCATTGGTGGTGAAAGCAAACAAATCAGTCCATGCACTGTTAAATTGTCTATTTTCCTTTGAGACTTTTTTCATTTTTGGATTTAATATCCAAAGCTAGCCTCGCTAAAGTCAAGACTGGCCACGGCTGTTGAGGTTGGTCAAAATTTAAACGTTGAAACATTTTCTTTATTTGGTGTATAGTTTACATATTTTTACAATTACAGGTAGAATGGAGGAATCACTTTAAGCCTGCAACAATGATAAATGAAAATTAAAATATGGTGTGTTGTCAAAGCCACAGGGAGCCAATGGTGTGGAGCTAAAGAGCTGCATGTGGCTCTGGAGCATCAGGTTGCCAACCCCTGTTCTAAGGTAATAAACATACTCATTATATTATATTCAATTTCTGCCAGTATAGCCCCCTAAATCTTAAACACTGGACCTTTAAGATTTTTTTTATAGATGTTGTTTATAAAAATTTACAGAAATTAAAGAAGGATATAGGCTTTTTATTTATTTAACCTTTATTTAACCAGGAAGTCCCACTGAGATTGAAAATCTCTCTTACAAGAGACACCTGTCCGAGGTAGCAGCCAATTAAAACACATTTAAAATGCATCAAATACAACATATAATACAAAAATCCACAATAAAACAACAACTATTCAAACATAGTGGCTTCTCAAGAAGAACAAGCACATGTCTCTGTCACCACATTCTTTATGATGCCTTTAAGTGTGTATAATTTTAGATCATATGTGAGTGTTGCTACTCAGTCAGGGGTTAACTTAAAAAAAATAAGTGCATAATTAAAGAGTTTTTGATCAAGTTACATTCAGAAAGTGTTCAGACGCCTTCACTTCTTCACATTTTGTCTGTAAAAATCATTTAAATTCATCTTCTTCCTCATCAGTCTACACTCAATATCCCTTAATGACAAAGACAAACAGGATTTGTTCATAGTTTAAATGAAATTTATCAAAAAGAAAAGAACAGAAATATCACAGACTCTTTCCTACGGTGCTTGCAGTTCAGCTCAGGTGCCTCTGATTTGTCTTGATTGTCCTTGTTCCTGCATCTTGATTGGAGTCCACCTGTGGTCAGTCCAGCTGATTGGACATGATTTGGACAGGCACACACCTGTCTATATATATATATATGTAAGGTTTCAGCTCACACTTCAGAGCAAAGACAGAGCCATGAAGTCACAGGAGAGATTAGAGCCAGGGAAGTGTTGAGGCACGAATCAGGGGAAGGCAAAAAATACATTTCTGCTGCATTGAAGGTTCACAAGAGTCACAAGTTCACAAGTTTCAGGGAAAACTGCTGAGTGAAAGTCACATGAGAGCCTGGGTAGAGTTTGCAAGAAGAACCCAAAGGACTGAGAAAGCAGAAAAGTAAGAATAAAAATGTTTGGATTCACTTCAAGTTTATTTGTAAAGCAACATAAAGCAGCTCAGAGTGTTTGAACAGTGTGAGCAAACTTAAAGTGGAGTCTTGATTCACCTGTGGCTTTTTAGTGTCACTTTCTGTTCAGGTGAACTTTCATAAGAAGCAAAACTAAACACAGAGGTGACCCACAAAGGGTTAAACAGAGGGAGGAGTGTGTTGTGTTCTGCACAGTACACTCAGAGAGGCTGAATGTATGAAGATGCCTCACTCTGCTCTTATTGGCAGTTACAAAAACAAACACTCCACACATTTATTTAATAATGCAAAAATGTTTTCACACAGACTGGAGACAGTGATGCACACAGGCAGTTTTAATAAAGTGCAACAACAAATATTATGCCAGGTCAAGACACATTAGATAAGAAGCTAGAAGTTTCTTTATCCTTCCCTTTCCTCAGCACTGATTAGTTCCTTTCACTCTTCGTTCACTCATTAACCTGATTAAGTTCACCTGTTCACCCCCTAAACTCTGAACACCATTACATGGGGCGGCAGTGCTGATTCAAACCCACTTGTGTTTGCTCCCCTGTTTTTATGTTTCACTACAACTTCTTCAGTTTGAAAAATAAATCTTCATGTGCAAAAGGAAAGTTTCAGTGGCTGATGCATTCTGATGATAGCAGACGTCCTCCTCCTCGTCCTCGTCCTCGTCCTCGTCCTCCTCCTCCTCCTCCTCCTCCTCCTCCTCCTCCTCCTCCTCCTCCTCCTCCTCCTCCTCCTCCTCCTCCTCCTCCTCCTCCTCCTCCTCCTCCTCCTCCTCCTCCTCCTCCTCCTCCTCCTCCTCCTCCTCCTCCTCCTCCTCCTCCTCCTCCTCCTCCTCCTCCTCCTCCTCCTCCTCCTCCTCCTCCTCCTCCTCCTCCTCCTCCTCCTCCTCCTCCTCCTCCTCCTCCTCCTCCTCCTCCTCCTCCTCCTCCTCCTCCTCCTCCTCCTCCTCCTCCTCCTCCTCCTCCTCCTCCTCCTCCTCCTCCTCCTCCTCCTCCTCCTCCTCCTCCTCCTCCTCCTCCTCCTCCTCCTCCTCCTCCTCCTCCTCCTCCTCCTCCTCCTCCTCCTCCTCCTCCTCCTCCTCCTCCTCCTCCTCCTCCTCCTCCTCCTCCTCCTCCTCCTCCTCCTCCTCCTCCTCCTCCTCCTCCTCCTCCTCCTCCTCCTCCTCCTCCTCCTCCTCCTCCTCCTCCTCCTCCTCCTCCTCCTCCTCCTCCTCCTCCTCCTCCGTAACAGTTTCTAATATATAAGAAACTTTCAGACATCACTAACCACTCTGACTCTACTCACATTATCAAAACCACCTGGGAGAGTGAGCAAATATCCTGATTTCAGCAGGTGTCATTTGTCAAATTAAGAGGCATTATTGTAACTGACAGTGATTTATGACCCCTGAATCATAACTACTTGCGTTGGGATATAATTTATGGTCTTTTTTTTTAATTGATCTTTTTCTTAAATTGTAGCTCAAAGTTTGATATAAACACGCAAAGCGACCACAAATCGTTGCTACTTTATGCTTCCATACCACTTTTCAGATGGAAATATAGGCTACTCTTTACTCCAATACTAACTTTTGTTACTAGATTAATTATACCAAATATAATCAACAAATAAATGATGATTAAGATGAAACTTTATGGATTCCTTAGGGGAAACCTTTTCATCAGCTGCAAAAAGTGATGTACAAAATAATGCATGAATACTTATAATCAATCATTAGGTGTCCTTCGGTCAGGTGTTGCAAATTAGCGTTTCAAACATGTGCATAAATGTACATCTCTAATGCTACTGAGATGTCCATATCAAATCAACTATAAACTATAACTATCCACTATACTCTAGGAGGTCAGGGCTCAGCAACCTGAACTATCAAAAGCAATTTTTTATTTGGTCTAAAGAAGCATTGAAAAATATGTATTACCATAAAATGGCTCCTCTGCAGTGGGCTATTTATGAATGTTTTGTTTGCTTTCACTGCCAACGCTGCAAATCTGTCTACACACTATTAAATTCGGTGCTTTCCTTTTGAGACTTTTTCTTTTATGGATTTGGAATCCATTGCCTAGGTAGGGAGGCTCAAGACAAAGCTCCGCTGTTGAGGTTTGGCAAAATATAGAGGAAAAGCATAGACTGTGTAAAATAATATTTTTGTAGGCCTAGAATGCAGGACTTTAACAGTATTTTTACACTGTGGTATTTCTACTTTACTTAACACCTGAGCTCCTGTATCTTGACTTTCTTTGCACCAAGCCCCACACACTCTGACTTAATCATTTTTTACATTTTTGCAGCTGTGTGTAATATAATATCCATAATCAATATTCAAGGGCTGGACTGTTACAGCTACAGAGAAACATTTGTGTTCCGGGTCGTTGTTTTGGTGACAGAGTGGTTCCTCCTGTGTGTTAGAGGATCTTTGTTACAGTTACACTCCCGGCGGCGCTGATGAATCGTAAGCGGTGTTTGTCTTCGACTTCTCCAGCCGTCAAACTGCTTTCCCGGCGTCCATTAATGAGATTTAATGACCTAACAATCCATCACAGGACAACAATGGAATAACAGCTTCTGTTCTAAAGGATTTAAAACTTTTTTTTCAATGTTTTTACCGACTTAATAACCGCCAACATACACTTTACAATGCCTCGTCTATGTGTACAGTGTTAGCTAACGCTGCTAGCCGCTGTCATTAGCTTAGCCGGTAAACTTGTCAACACCGTGAGGACTATAATGGAGTATGATAACGAAGCGTCCAGCGAGGTTCAGACTGTTTCCTCTGATGTTCCGTCTGATGTTCCTTCTGATGTTCCCAGGACACCAAACACTGAGCTGAGGAAACTTCTGTCCTTTAAATTGTACAAGAGGAGGTGGTTTGTCCTGTTGGTGCTGTGTCTGTTGAACTGCTCCAACGCCACGGTGAGTCCTGTGTGTGTGTGTGTGTGTGTGTGTGTGTGTGTGTGTGTGTGTGTGTGTGTGTGTGTGTGTGTGTGTGTGTGTACAGTTACCTGACAGCTCATAACAGTAAAGTTAAAGGCAGACAGTGGGCTCCAGAAAGTTCCTGTAACAGGGTTTTCATGCCCGATACAAAGGTTGATATTTGGGTCAGTGTGCAGTAACGTTTGCTTGTCCTCAAAAATGTTTTATGATTGAAAAAAGACCCTCCCAAAAGAACATAACGTCAAAACTCTAAATCTATGGTACGGAAGCCCATTGCTGCCAAGACAACATCAACGCAAACAGTGATGGTAAAAGTGGGAGTGCAATTAAAGATTACATTCATTATGATTCATCTGCCCATTTTTTCTTGATTAATCGTTTTGTCAATTAAATGGTAGAAAATAAAATAACAGGTGTTTCGGATTTACTCGCGACCATGTGCGTCTGTGGTTGTTGTAGTGACAACAGCTGTTTTCAACCAGGAAGAGAACACTTAGCTGTCCTCGCCTCTTTGTTGAATGTTTCATTACAGTGTCAAAACAGAACATACCTGAGTCACCTGTGGAGTTTTGTTTGAGGAAACGCATGATGTACATTACCCACTCATTTTGTACCTCATCTGTTGTGATGGGATTTGTTGACAACAGGAAGGGTGCAAGTTGCTTTTCCTTTGACTTTTCATCAGTAATAAAACTTCGCAATAACATTTTTCGTCTTTGGAGTCTGTCTGAATCTATGTGTGTTACCCACAATTTCCACATACTCCGTCTGCAGTGCCGCGGATCTGGAGCGACCGACAGCGCCCGCACCACATAGCAGGACCACAAGCTCACGTGGGAATTGCAATATCACGCGAGAAAAAGCACCACTCACTCCCAAAAGTCCTGCAATTTCACACCACATCTCCTTTCGGTTTGTATCCTTGTAGAAAGGATGTGTGGTGTCATACAAAATATTATGGTTTTCCACTTCAACCATGAGTTTCTCCTCGTCCATCTTTCCTCGAACCCTTGCACTGACTGACAACTTGTGTGACAGGATGTGACGTGTTTTTAAAAACCTGAGTTTACAATCCGTAGTCCGTGCAATGTGTTGTATTTTGGAATTTACCGGATGCTGTGTGCGTTCCGTTTCCGGTCTGGTGCGATCTGAGCTACGTGGCTTGACGTGCAGTGGATGCGCAGTCGCTGAAAAATAGACCTCGTGCTGCTTTCGCGAGCGAGCTCGAAAATATAAGGAACGCCAATTTTTTGCGCAAGTGGCAAGCAAATGGTCGTGGTATTCAACAAAAACGAGTTTGCGTGTGTTGTTTTTTCCACCTTAATTTTCCACCATTGGTATTGTGTTGCTCCAGTGTAATGTAACCAAAAGTGTTCCCCCTACAAATACATGGTTTGCAAATTCCTCAAAATTAGTTTAAGTATTGCAGACCAAAACTGCATCAAATTAAGGTCCCTCCACTGCTTACAAGTCAGTCAAGAACACAGCTCAAGTTAATTTTATTCAGTTCAGTCCAAAAATCAAATTTGTGTCTTCTGACATCTTCACTGTAAAACATATGACATCCTCACGGGGAAAAGAGAATACCACTTACACAAAGAAGTGGCAGAGAAAATAATTGCGCACACACAACTCATGTAAAAATAATGGGCAAACAAAATCTTATTCTCTTGGAATAGCAATCCCGACTGGAATATGATGGCAGGGTACAGCCCATCATGCTGTTTTGATGAGGGAGCTGATGTCCAGCTGGAGTTGACCTGGGCAGTGATGGTAGCCCTACTCCAGTGTAAGGTGAGACAGGGACAAGGTGGGTGGTGAACAGGCTGGACATGAAAAGGGAAAAAAAAAAAAAAAAAATTATATTTGGCTTTGCCACACACACAACGAGAGCACATTGTGCACTCAATCTGAAAGACAGAAGATAAATTAGATCTTCCTTTTAATGAACTCTCAATGTAGATAACTTTAAAGGCTTCCTACCCATTGATCCACAGGTGCCTCTGAGGTGTCCCTGTCTCCAGTCTCTTTTTTCCCCTCACAGATTCTGCACAGGTCTGTGAGGTTGTCTATTAATTACCAGAATCATCCATCAGTCTCCTGGCCATTTCCATCCACGTGACGTTAATGCTCTCCTGGTTTACATTGAATTCAATGCTGCTGCCTTCAAGCAGCAGCTCTGCAACCTTAAAATACAGGGCAGTGTTATTGTTGCTTTTGCAAGAATTATTAAATGCTTACTAGGGTACACAATCTTACTTTGCAGACCAGCACTCCACAGGATGTGGAATCTTGTTGACGGGGATGTGGAATTGTTGCACAGGACCATCTAGATACATTTAGGCCCATGTTTTTTTTCTCACATGAAATCCCTAAAGAAAAGAATTCAGAATATTTAGTTAATGTTGTTACAAGCACATCAGCAACCATTTGTCCTATTTTTAAGAAATGAAACACATGAGAATAAATCCTGAAGTTACCTTGTTGCATCCCTACAATGTTTAGCTGATTCTGTGTGGCTCCGAAAGGATCTACAAATAGGGCCCGTCTGTCCTTTGGCTACATGGCCTGTTACAGACAGCATACTTTAATGTAAATGATTCTTAGAGTTGTAAATATAGTTGCATGAATAGCATTGATTAAAGTGCACTTACTACGAGAGTCTAATGTCTGTCCTTGCAGACGGCCCCTATTAACGTGTCCCATTCTGTCACATCGAGCTGCAAGTAACTTTGAAAGTAACTATTAGCCTAACCGTTCTCATTCCCCTTGATGCACCATTCCATATTCCTGTTATTTCGAATGAATCAATGACACGTATTCTTTGATTTGGGACCTTCTTTGTTCCCCAGAGAAGGGAGGCATTTATGATCTACACAAAAGGGAAAAAAAAATACAGAAATGTAAAATCAAATTAGCTTGCATATCAAACATGAAAAATCTGAAGCAGCTTACAATCCACAATTACCTCGCTCTCCAACTCTCTTTCAGGTGCCAGGCTCTGCAAATCTGCAGTAAATAATTTACACAGCCCCATTTTGGACCAGAGGACCTCCCCTTTTTGTGAAGTCCATATGTCTTAGACAGCTGGAAATTCAGAACATCTCAATCATTTAAAAGAATAGGCCTATATAGCATGATTAAACTTAAGTTTACATTACAAAATATGACATACCATTACTATGGATGGGTTGACTGGTGCCTTGAAATGTGGCTGGCAAGGGACCAGGGGAGCTGATGGCATGCGGAGGCTTGGAGGGGCTGGATGGTGGTTGTGGCAGGGGGTGAGCCAGAGGAGAGTTGCTAACTTTTTGTAGCTTTGCTGGGATCCTCTCCTCTTGCTCTTTGAAGTGGACAAGCTGGTCCACATTGGCCACTGTTTTTGATTTTGCACTTTGTAGGGAGACCATTTTTCCCTTTTTTTTTATGGTGGTTATCGTAAAGGGTCCGAGCATATCACTCTCCATCTTTCCTCCTTTGCGTTGTTCTGCCCTTATGTTTTTTTTTTTAGCACAACCTCCCCAACTTGGAAGTTGTCCTCCAATCCCTTTTCAAGCTTTCTCTTCCTGATTTTTTTTCCTGACTTTTTTTTTACATTTTGTGTGACTTTTTTGTATATCGCAGTTTGATGCACAAGTCCCTCACAAACCTCCTCGTTTTCTATGAGGTGCTCTTCTGTCTTCTGTCACCTAAGTACAAAAATGCAAAGTGTTATATTTTGAGCTATTTACCAAACGTGACCCCAACCCCTCGACGCCAAGACAAACAGCCACTTACCTCATACTCTGTGGGCACCTCAGATGAGTATCTTGCTTCCCTGCCAAACATTAAATGATAAGGACTATACTGTGTTGTAAGTTGACCAAACATAGTTGCTTGTAGGTATTGATCCCATTTTTGGGGGGTTTTCTCCCCAGTTTGTTGAGAGACCTGAAAATAGTGTTAGGGTATGTCACTACTTAAGTCTATACCATTAATTTGTCAGTGTATGATACCTGCCAACTCATGTGACTTACCTCTGGGTGGTGCCATTCAGTTTCTCCACCAACCCATTAGTCTGCAGGTGATATGGTGCACAAAAGCATCGCTGAATGCCAAGGGCCTGACAGAGTCTGGCATTCACCTTTAAATTCATTTTGCAGAAAAAATAAATAAAATTAAAAAAAATTCAGCATTCACAATATGTCTTGCCAAGACATAATATTTCTGAGTGTTCTACCTGATTTTTGAACTCTGTCCCTTGGTCTGTAAGCAGTCTCTGAGGTGCACCAAATTTGTATACAAAATCAAGAATACAATTGGTGGCCTCCTCTGCAGACTTACTCTTCAGAGGGTAGTCCTCTGCCCACTTTGTGAAATAATCAACTGTTACACAAATGTTTTGATTACGTCAAAAGAAAACTTAATTTAATATTAACATAAAAGAACAAATGTAGGCTACTTATTTTGTTTGATGGTATATAACATTACTTACCCTTGAGGACAAAGGTAGAAGCGGTAGTGTACCGCTGGTGCTTTGTCAGTCTATTTGTCTCAAAACATTTCTCCTCACTTCCTACACTGTAAGTTTTGCACAACCTTTATATAGGTTTCCCTAAAATGGTGTAATCAGGTTAGTTGGCCACAAGCTTGGCTACAGGGCTCAGCCATTTAGCACCTCATTTGTCCTTAATTGATCACACCAACAACAGCCTCCTGTTAATGCTCATAATTTTTGTATGAGATGGTCAACAGTTATAGTCAAATGGGTGTAAAATCTTTGTATGTCACCTATAGGCAACACGATACCATAGAGTTGATCTGACTACCTGTGTATGAGGCTGAACTGGCTGTGTGTCTAAACAGAGGGAAATACATAAGCGATTGTTACGACCCACCCTTAAGCGGCCCAAAATAATCACATGAACACCTTTTTTTTTTTGTTTGTTTGTTTTTTTTTAAAAACCAATCAAATCCATGGGATTTATTAGATTGAAAAC